TCAGTAGAAATATCAGCAGTCATGCAGACACTGCGGGATCAGGACGTCGATGAAGCATTTATAAGCATCCTGGAAGAAGTATACAGGGGATCAACTGCTACCATAGTGCTTCATAAAGAAAGCAACAGAATACCAATCAAGAAGAGTGTAAGGCAGGGGGACACAATCTCCCCAATGCTATTTACCTCGTGCTTACAGGAGGTTTTCAGAAGCCTAGTATGGGAACAGTTAGGAATAAGAGTTAATGGAGTAATTAGTAACCTGCGCTTCGCCGATGAAATTGCACTGCTGAGTAACCCAGGGGACGAATTGCAACTCATGATTACGGAGTTAGACAAGGAGAGTAGAAAGGTGGGTTTTAAAATTAATCTGCAGAAAACGAAAGTAATGTACAACAACCTCGGAAGAGAGCAGCGCTTCGAGATAGGTAATAGTGCACTTCAAGTTGTAAAAGACTATGTCTACTTAGGGCAGGTAATAACCGCGGAGCCGAACCACGAGATTGAAGTAACTTGAAGAATAAGAATGGGGTGGAGCACATTTGGCAAGCACTCTCAAATTATGACAGGTAGATTTCCACTATCCCTCAAGAGGAAGGTATATAACAGCTGTATCTTACCGGTACTTAGCTACGGAGCTAAGTACCGGTAAGATACCGGTACGGAGCTGACTACGAGCACGTCTCCGAGACTTACACATTATGAACGCTGGCCAATGTCTCAAGCAACCGCGTGGGAGGCGCACTCATCGCCATGAAGACGTCGTTCTGTCAGCAATCGGTGACTTAGATGAAGACACTGGCTGTCTGAAAGCTTCCGGCATGGGCATCAATGACTCGACCTTACTTCAGCCTGCTTGCGCGCCTGTTTTCAACGCGGCGTCGCCTTCAATGGCTGACTTTCCAGGCAACCAGTTTCCATCTTGGTCGTGCCTACGCTTCGCAGACAGGCCTGGCAGCCCCTGTGACGCGGCGGCCTACTTGCCCGAGCTCGACAGGCGGGCCGACATCAAGTATGAAGAAACACCGACTTTATGCGGTTACACCAGTGCTCTGTTGAAGCTGAAACGAGCTCGACTCCAGTTGTTCTCGCAGACGGCTTGTAGACCGTACGTCAGAGCGAAAGAAAATATCACCATGCTTGAACCACACACTGGGCATAGCAACTACAGCGACGCTGAGCAGTACGCGAGAAAGAGAGACCCGTCAATCGTGAAGCTTGCTCAGGCGGAGGGCCCACATGGCGTCCGTCACACTCCTGAAGACTTACAAAGAGGGTTCAGCTTAAATTGAGGACGACGCAGCGATCAATGGAAAGAAAAATGGTAGGTGTAACCATAAGAGACAAGAAGAGAGCAGAGTGGATTAGGGAACAAACGGGGGTAAGGGATATCATAGTTGAAATCGGGAAGAGGAAATGGACATGGGCCGGGCATGTAGCGTGTAGACAGGATAACCGCTGGTCATTAAGGGTAACTGATTGGATTCCCAGAGAAGGCAAGCGGGTTAGGGGGAAACAGAAGGTTAGGTGGGCAAATGTGATAAAGAAGTTTGCGGGTATAAATTTGCAGCAGCAAGCACAGGACAGAGTCAACTGACGGAACTTGGGAGAGGCCTTTGTTCTGCAGTGGACGTAGTCAGGCTGATGATGATGATGACACTCCCTATATCATCTAAAAGTTGCATTTAGCATCCCGTTGTTTCTGGCTATACCTTTTGCTTCAAAGGGCTACTCACCAGGCCCCATACCAAATTTTAGTTAAACCGTGGAGGTTGTGGGGTGTCCGATGAGAAACATTTTGCCCCAAACATTTTTTTAATCGGTTCATTACGAACTAAGAAAACTGTTTTTATGAAGCGGCGGGAAATGAGGATGAGATGAGGGGAGCTCGAAACACTTGCCGCTCCTCCGCATAGCCTTCGCAAGCCAAATCTCTTCCATACCCTCTCCAGCATCCGACCAACAGATCACGTGCGCATGACGTGCCTGAACAAGCCCAACCCCCATGCATGTGAGCGTTCTTTTCTTTCCTTTTTTGTTTGTTGACCAGCATTGTTTTGAGGTCTACTACCTGTTTCTGCTGGATGGTTTGGAAATGCTGGCTTAGACGCGGTAGAATAGACGAGCAAATGAGTGTACGATCCGTAGGAGCGTTCCATGGCTGCCGTCTGCTCGATGCGCTTACCGCGGGGACACGAATGCATGCGTAATGCCAGCACATTAACCCCCGCATATGTTGAAAAAATGGAAAAAAAAAAAAATGAAAAAAAAACAAGAACGCTCACATTGTCTTATTGTGTCTCATTATTTGTCTAAAAAATTTATTATTCTCTTCAAGCAACAAATACATAATCTCGCATGTCATGTAAAAATAATTTTCTCCTTGACACGTGCCACTATTGGCAACGTCAGAGCACAGTCGTCTACGTAGAGGACCAACGTCACTGTATTGTTGAGTACGTAAGGCCATTCATACGCGCACGTAATGCCCTCATTCTTTCGGCCCGCCCCGGCAAAAGGAAGGGGGAGCAGCGTTCATCTTGAAGTTTGACCCATTTACGCGGCATGTAGCGTTGCAAATTTTGGCAGACGTGATTATGAAAGCCTCATCTACGAATTGCGCTTGTCAGCTCAAAATTGTCAAACCTGATGAGTGGCCCTTTAGGAAGGCTTCCACGAGGAGACTGAAGCATATTTTATAATAAAGTTGACTTGGTCAGTGTCTATTTTGTTTATCACCATATGAAATTCCTAATACATATCTGCAATTCCTGTCAATTTGTGTACATTTGTAAAATTTACTACTTAAAAATTGTCAAATCACCATTTAGGTTGAATACTAGAAGGATAAAAAAAAACACATTCATTGGGATCTCAAACGTGATGCAACAAAGGACGTGAAGACTGCTTTTGAATTGCCCAGAAGGCTAGCTGCAGCTACTGTGCAAGAGCAGCAGTTCCTATGGGACCACATGACACAGTTTCAGATGCCTAGAGAGCTTTTAGTCCATAATTTAGTGTATGAATCAGAATGACTCACTGTTAAATAGCCTATATAAAAATTTGAAGTTTGAAAGTGCCTTCATGACATGGGTTGCAGAAACAGCATTTGTCGATGAAACAAAAACTTGGGCTTTCATTCAGACTTCTCTTTTGCAGTGGGAATGACATTGTACTATGATCACCTGTTGACACCCTGTTCCTCCCCTTGTTTCATTACGGTCATTGATGTGATGCGTCAACTAACCAAGATAAAAAAATTTTTAAAAACCCTCAGTTATTCAGGCATCAAATTTAAAAGGAATCACTTGCACGCATCAATTATAGCAATTCAACCAAATAGACCCCACATAAATTTAATACTAAGTGTCGCTTAATTAGTAAAAGGAATGTTCAACATCCAAATAAATTATTGCAGATCATCATCATCCTTCTCAGCATGTTTTAGTACACTGTAGAATGAAGACCTCTCCCAATAATCTCCAGTTTACCATACCCAATGCCAGTTGATTCCACTGTGAATTTCTAAATTTTGTCATCTCATCTGACTCTCTGTCTCCCCTTACTGCATTTTCCATCCCTGGATAACCGTTCTGTTGTTCTTACTATCTACCAGTTGTCTATCCTACGCACTACATGACCAGCCCACATCAATCATTTTTCGTGAATGTCCATGTACGATTAAAAAATTTCACCATTGGCATCCTCAGACCGAAGGCCATCTATGGGGATAACTACTTCTGTAATCAGCTTTCATTATCAAATGGAACATTATCAGCACAAACAGCCCATCGAAAAAAATCTCAGATTTTTAACACGTGCATGACATTTTTTGCACACACATGATAAAAGTAGCCATCTTTTCAAGTTCACCGTTTTCCAAATCATGTTTTAGGCTTGAGCCCTCAAGTTGTAAAATTACATCAGCGGCACAAGCTGAAGCTGCATTCCAGATTTTCATGACAGCTTGTGGTATTCAAGGCGCTTTACAGGCACTTTTCATAGTCTTTGAGTGTACACAAAACTAATGTAGATCTTTACAAAAGCTGGCAAAAGTAATGCTTTTGAACCACCACCATACATCACTTTATGCACTAGGCATTATACTGAGAATGATCATTTGTCATAACTGATTTCGACCAGATTTCGAAAAGTACTTTAAACCTGTTAGCCCATTGGGTAACAGGGAAATTAAAAAATTGGAACATCCATGCTTTAATGACTATTCCCTTCAACTTTTCTATACTATAAACATTTACCCTGCAGCATAATTAAAATGTGATCAGTTTGAATAGTGAGCGTGTTGCTTTGGTACTCTTGCAATTGAAGCCTGTCTGAAGTTTCACAAATCATGTGACTCGTTTCTCAATTAATGGTTATAAATGTAGCTGCAGCAATGTCATTATGGCAACTGAACCAAACCTGGGCACAATAGCGTAGAATCCTGAGCAAGCATCCCCTCTTCCCCTATTCAGGAGATTTGTAGGTACATGCCAATGACCGAGCAAACGCGCCTCCCTCTCTTTTCATTTTTTTTTTTTCAATACAGAACTCTGCAGCCGCAGTTCCTAAGAAAACCAAGCTCTAAGTGTTTTTAGATATGTTCATGATTTCTGAGTACTTTATTCAGTGTTGTGCCTCGGGATTGCATTCCGAGTTCTCACCAATTGTCAGAGCATTGGAAGAACATTTCTGCTCTCTTGTCATAACACATGAAATTGCACATGAAGATTCACTCCGGCTTTGTAAAAACAGTAAATGCTTGCATACTCGATGACGCATTTCAGTAAAAGCACTTCTTGGCAGCCCTGCCAACACCATCTTGAATTTTGGTCTGTGACAGAACAAAGACTCGCCTCCCAATTTTGTCCAATTATCTTTCACCACAGAGGAGGTGGGGGGTGGGGGTGATGGTAAATAAAATGGGAAATGCAAAATTGGAATCACTGCACCAAATTTTAATATTTAGAGCACTTTGTATGACACAGAAACACACTTTACCTCTGTTTTTGAAGAAGTTCCATTGTTAGTGGTGCTGGTACCAGCTGCAGTTCTTGGTTGGCTGTAGGCTCAGGTTCAGGCTGATCAGTCTGAGAACCAGTCTCCTTGGATAGCTTGTTATCAGTCCCGGTTGCCCTCGACGCTGTCTCGAGTATTTTATTTTCAGCTGCAGCCTTTGGTTCTTCAGATGCAACATCTGGAACAGGAATACCCGCGGACTTCTTTTCAGCATCCCCGTGAGACTGGTTAAGCTGAACTGTGGCGCCAGTTTTCTGAATTATTTCTTCAAGAAGTACTGTGGCAGTCCGCTGGTTCAGGACACCGGATTTTTCAAGAAGCTCCAGAATAAATTCCTTGTCCAAGGATGCCGACTTGGAGGCGCCTACTTTGGCATTTGGTACAGCCTGAGGTGGAGGTGCATGCTGAGGTTGTTGCTTAGCAGTGTGATTTTCCAGAAGCTTGAGTATGCCTGCAAGCAGACCATCCTGGCCGCTCTCGACAGCTCCTGTGCTGCTCGATCCTGACAATGCAGTCTCTCTTGTTGACTCGGCAGCAACTGGAAGTTTGGGTTCCGGCTTCATAGGAGTTTGTTGCGTCTGAGATTTGAGACCAGCGTTTTGGAACATGTTGTAAAACTGTGCCATACCATCTGGAACTTGCTGTGGTGCTCCATGTGATAATGCTGAAAATCCAGCAAAAACAGGCGACATCGCAGCTGCTGAAAACATACCCCTGCTTCCCTGAAACAGTTCCATCATTCGCTTAAGGCTCTCGGCTTTTTCACTCAGCTGTGCTCCTGAAGCTTCCAGTCTCTCTTCAACATCTTTTAGAGGCATGGAAGTTGGAAACAACTGCAGTGTGTCTGGCCTTGGCTTTTCCTGAACCACCACTTTAATTCCATACAGCCACATGGAATCTGTAGACTTAATAGGGATGAACTGCAAGTATATAAAGTGGGCACAAAAAAAAAAAAAAGAATTACACTGCGCATAGTGCTAAATAATTTCCATACGGTACACTGAAAAACTTATATTGAATTATTGCTTATCAGAAAAAACTGTTTTTTGATATCAATGACTGATGCTTTACATCTGTAAGTGGTGCATGGTGGTTCTTATTTATTTACTTATTTATGATACCCTCAGAGTGGTGCAGCATTACAGAGTGGCATGCTTACAAAGTAAATAAAAACAAATACGACAATAAAAATACTCATCTTTAACTAGCTGCCTGTTTATCTAAAAATTTAATGCTATGCTTTATGCAGACATGGCACAAGCTAAGTGGTAAAATACCTGATGCAACCTCTGACTTGTTATGACACTCTCTTTAAGATATCCAGAGGTGAAGGATGGGGGTGGGTGGTGCTCTGTTTTTTATTAATGAGACAGATTTCTTAGAATAGACAATGCCCTTGCTATCAGAAGCTTGAAAAGAAGACCATGCACAACTATTTATAATCATATTACCCATAACCATTCACAAACTACTCAATTTTATTAGCTTCTATGCCTCCTTCTTCATGTGTTATATAGTTTTCACACACCATCGCAAATATTTCTTGTCATGGTACTAGCACTCCGACTTAGCAGCTGAGAGGACACAAGTGCACAGTACTACCACATGCATATCATTTCAATTTTTACGCAGACTGTTTTTTGCAGCATCAACAGTTATCAAAGCATTACATTACAGATGTGCCTGTCATGCCTCCTCCCCACCAGCCTGAAATAAAATTCTAACTACACTTATACTATTATCAGAAAAAAACTGTTTTTCTGATATCAATGACTGATGCTTTACATTTGTAAGTGGTGCATGGCAGTTCTTATTTATTTACTTACTTATGATATCCTCAGAGTGGTGCAGCATTACAGAGGGGTATGCTTACAAAGTAAATAAAAACAAATATTGCAATAAAAATGCACATTATCCTAATTATAAAATATTAGCTATGTATACTGAGGATATAAATTATAATAGGTAAATGTACAAATGTAAGTTGTTACCTTTCTTGTACAACATCAGCTAAATTTTGTCATAAAAGCTGGTTATCAGTAAGTTACAATGTCCTTTGAAAGGTGGTTCCAATTTGAGCCAAGAAAGGTCAGTAAAAGGCTGGTTGTTGCAAGATTCAACGCGAACATTACGATGGTGGTGAATGCTGAGCTGTAAAGGTTAGCGAGCCGTGAAATGTAAGATGGTGGAATATTTGTGAAATATGAACAACCGAGTTATGTTGTGGCTTGAAGCAAGAGAAGGAAGGGCTGGACTAGATTTCATTGATGTTATACTGGCAGAACAGCTATAAATAGAGAGATGAAATGCATGGAGTTATTCTGCACATATTCACGTAAAGTAATCTTGGTAAGTATGTCGCCTAACAAAGTTCTTACTTTAAGCAATATATTAAATGTGAAGTGCCTGAGATAGATTAGAAGTGACATGAATACCCAAGTATTTATAACTGACTGAATTGAGGGGACTGTTGTTAAGGTAGTATGCTAACAGAATCTTAGAACTTATAGCGGCATGCATTTCTTTACATTTCTTTGATTTAAACCCATTTCCCATGCGCTGCACCAAGCTACATTAAAAAAAAAGGGCAAAGGTTCAGGAGAAAACGGAATCTTGAAGAGACGAAAAATTCTTGAATACGTGGTCACTATACGCAGTGTTGCTGGAGCCAGCATTACGAGAAGCCGACTTGTCTTTTTCGGACTGCAACTTCTTTATTTAAGAGTGGCAGCCTGGAAGAAGACAAGTCCACTTTTTGAATGTTGACTCTAGCAAGATACCTGTTCAAGAATTTTGCACGAAGCTACACAGATAATTAGATGGAATTGGAGGCATTAACAGACATTATCATCAGTTATTAAAAAATGACGTAACTATCAGCAAAAAGGTGAATGCTTGAAGAAATTGAGGAAGTGAGGAAAATAAAAGAGGTAGAAAAACAAGCATACTAACTCCTGTGGCACATCCTAATGCTTTAGAGGAATTGACAAGTTATGAGGGTTATATTATGGACACAGTAATATCATCAATATCTTATACAGAAGACTTGATGTTTTGATCTCGCAGGCACTCTAAAAAAAATGTGAAACCCAAGAAAAAAATATACTTACCTTCAGGCAGCATTCTTTAAGAGGTCTTGTAAGGTTAAGGTCACCTCGGAATACAGACATGCCATCCACTTCTTCTATAAACTCATTTTTAAGAGTGCTTAAGTATTCTCCGTGGTAACCGTAGACTTCTATGACCCTTGCCTCGGATAGAACAGACACACTACTCATTTGATGTGTCTCACCACAGAACAAGAAGACTTGGCAGGCTGGGACAATGTAGTTACCAGTGACATCATCCGCAACCGGTGCTTCCAGCTGGACACAATTTTCAGCAGAAATCGCATCCTCGAGGTCAATGCTACAGAGTAGGCAAAAGAGAAAAACACGAATGAGCTTTGTCGCCATGGTTCCGGACATAACGTATAAGTTAGGATATTACAAGGACATATTCCCGATTGTCACACAAGCACACGCGCATCGGCATGGAAGCGTATGAAAAAAATTTTATTCAGGTACCTAGGAAAAAATTATTCAAAAAATTTAGCCTTTCCTCTTTGCTCTCAAATGCATGCACAGTTGAATTAATTAATCATAAATGTATACACAATATTATATAGGTGAGTGCTCTAAACTCTATAAGAACCTCTCGAAATAGGGGCGAAAATAAACTTTGCAAATCGCGGTCGACCCTGTGCATTAGGACAAAACAGCGTATTACTCTGATGTAAACACACTACTGCAGAAACGGAATGTATGTCCCTGCTATAAAAATGCACACTCATCTCAAGGACAATTATTTAGCTCATACATTCACCCCAGGCTTCAGGGCTTAGCGTCGCCGCGCCCGCCCAGAGATGAGATAAAAATAGACTATTCGCCACGAGGTTAGCCAGGAACCAACTTTGTGGCGCACCAACATCATTTCTGTCTAGTGCTTCCCCGGCGATCACCTACAAAGGATAAACTTACATTTAATCATTGATAACACTTGCTTTGCTTCACAGCAGATGACACACGCACATGACCGAACACGAGGAAACGGAGCGGACGATGCACAGCAGTCGAACTTACTTTTCAGTGCCTTCGAAGTATACAATTGCGTCAGACACAGGACGGTCGCCTTGAACCTTCCAGGTGCACTTTGCTTTAATCATTTTACGAAAACTGAGCTCTTGGCGGCCTCTTCGCTACTGGAAGCAGACGCACACGGTACCTGTAGGCTTCTTTCACGCCAGTCAATGACGAACGCGAACTTCACAAAGCAACGAGCAAAACATTTAGGCTCAGTAACCTATTCTGGCACCATAGAACACTTGACTGGATACTTTCAAACTTCATGCCGTATCAGTCGGCGAAGACTAGGCACATATAACTGCGAAGCACTGCGTCGGCTACGCAAGATGCCTGCACCCCTGTATCTTGCGCTCCGCCACACATCTCACCCGCGGCCGACTTTCCTCCGTTCTGACTCCCGATAGCCACAAAACCAACTGGTAGGTCAGGTAGGTGTTCTGTGACAGAACCCTCTCAGTCATCATCATTAACGCCTAGCAAGCCTGATGATGATGATGACGCAGAAGACGTGTTCCTTTTGCGCATAAAGGCTGTTTCACATGCTGCCATTGCAGCGAAAAACAAAATCGTTCTGTTCGCTCCAATCGGTCTGTTCGCAATCGTCGCTAACACCTATGGTATCACCACGTAGCACATCAAGGAGATTCTACAGAACCTCTGGAGTGCCAGTCCCGGCCACCACCAACGGGAGGAAGTGAAGCTGCCAGCAGCCATATTGCTAGAGGAAAAACAGGGCGGAACCGCCATAGATCGCAATGGAATACGCGCGTTGCGCGCGTCGGTTCGCAGTTCTACGATAGAAAAAAATGGAAACCACTTTTAGGTTACACTGACGAATAAATTCCTCTTCTTGTTTATGACACAAATTATCCCATGCACCCATTGTCAGCTGCACGCTTTCAGATCAATCTGTTGTCAAGGGATGCTTCGCATATCGAGCTTGCTGGCGCACTATTGCGGTACAAAAGGGTTGTAATATATATTGCGTGTTTTAAGAAATGTGCCTGCTGATACTCAAGATCAAGGGGAACGCGACATTTGCTCGTCTCTTTCATATATGTGCTTGTGTGTGTGTCGGCAGATTACCAATGAATATATATATAAGGAAGTTGAAATAATTAAAGCTAAATTTAGAAGAGAGAGGTAATTAAGTAAACTAGGAGTCACCACTAATTTTTCTAGAGTTATCGAATGCTAACCAATTTACAGGTATGACCAAAACCGAAGCACCAATGTCGCGCGCAACTGACAAAATCTAAAGTTCCTCTACTTCGTAAGGTACAGGGGCTTTAACAAACTCCAGGAGACGTACCCCAAATAAACCGTTCATAAGAACGATTGCAGTGGCGTTAGTTATGCATAATATTTATCAACTTCCGTTGGCGACGTGTGTTGTCATGACAAGCGCAGTCTTCAGAGCCTAGAAACGAGGTAGCTCGATGTTTTATATAACGCCACTCACTCATTTTGGCAACTTCGTCTATCGGTGTTCTGGTTTCGTCGGCAAGATAGAACGGAAAGGTGTTTCATCTTGTTTTGAATGCAATTGCTCATTTTTGGGACAACATTTTTATTGAAGCTAGGTCGAGGAGGTAGAAACTAACAGGTTTTAGGGGCGAAGCTTTTTAAAGGCGCCCGTTTGTCCCTCGTCGTAGTCGTAGTGCGTAACCAGTCTTACGCTTTGACCTGCAAGGTGGTGCCGGTGGGAGATTTCCCCTGTGCGTTGTGGAACAATAAAAAATTTGCAGCGTGCGCGTTAACTAAAAGCTGAATTCTCCTGAGTCTCATTCCCCATTAGCAGCCATTGCCATGTACATTGAACACTATCTGACAACAAAGGGTTGCTACGTTATACTCGCTGGGCGTAACTTCCTTGGTTTTAGAAAGGTTTAGCAAGCGTTGGTCCGCAGTGCTATGAATACAGTGAACTAGTATATGCCATGAACTCGAGGTGGTTAAAGTTGGAAGTAGACAAGAAGCGCAAGCCGTAAAAAAGTGTGCGTGTGCCCCCTCTCGTTTATAAAGTCCGCTGGATGGCGGTGCTTCTATATGCGGAATATATGATGAAAAGATGCGAGATGGTGGTACTTGGAGTGTTGAGTAGATTGACGAACCGACACACAGAGAGATGTATGGACGGACGCACGGATGGACGTGCGGACGCACAAACAGACGCACGGACGGGCGGATAGACGCATGGACGGTCACACAGACGGACGTATGGGTGGACGGAAGCAAGAACGAATGGACGGACGGATGCTTCGCCCCACTCTCCATCATTCATCCCGTGGATATGCTGCCATTTTTGCAGATGTGCTCGGAAAGCAGGAAAAATTGAAGGTGCACTGCCAGGCCGCAGTCTGGTTATTGTCTGTCCCATTCTGTCGAAGCAGCATTCTTCGAAGTGAATGGAACAGAGGTGGTAACCGTCCATTGCCCTCCAACTATTTCTTCGAACAGCACGTTCCCAGGTAGAACGCAGCACACTATCTTTCGGATACCTGTAACACGGATATAATCACGACATAGAATTAATCTCAACGCTTGCGAATTCCTGGATAAGCATGCACCGAATTCGATATTAACTCTCAAAAAAAAAAAAAAATCCGCATGCACGCCGTCAGTCTTGCCTTGTAAAACAACACCAGGAAACTTGGAATTCAAAGATGTACAGCCGTAGATCGCAAGTGCTTCGTACATAAACTTAAAACTTATGGACAACGTTGCGTCAGCGAGCGTTTAAAGCTTCAAGTTACCTTCCATACAGCTATACGCATGTATTATACGCACGCGCACCTTTCATATTGTTTCTAATTTAACAGCGTACGCAAAAAAAAAACAAAAAAAAACAGGTGATTATCAGCGAACGAAGCGAGAATACTTATACGTGAAAAGTGATCCCAGGCGTCTTCTTGATGCGATATGTGCAGCCATAAGCGACGCACGAAGTCACCAATGGCATTGTAAAATCTTTAACTGCTTTACAAAAGCATGTCACAGCCTCCAAAGGCCACTGCGAGGGTGGAGCTACGAAGCGCACTTTGTCGTCTGCTTCCGAGTCTTTCCTTTTCCAATATGGCGGCGGCCGACGTCACTTACTAGTGGTGCACCTCCACTCCAGAAGAGAACCTCCTTGTTGGGGAGCGGCGGCAAGGTGGCGTACACGGAGGAAGGAAAAAGGTCCTTACCTTTTTCTTTCCTCCGTGGGCATGCCCAGCCGGCGCAGGGCGTAAAAAGTGTGGAGGAAATGACATCATGGCGGCCATATTCACTAGGCACAATGGCGGCGTTGCTATAGTTACGTGTTGCGCAGTGGAGCTGGTCTAGCAGTGAGCGGCCGCGGCTGGCGGCGGAATGTGTGTCTCCCCAGGTCTTGTGCTGAGCCGTGGCGGACAATATCTGTGCTCTGCGCCGCGTTATTGGTTACGCAGCGTTCTCCTGGCTGTTACATTACTCTTAGCAACGTTTACAAATCCCTTTGTCCATCACGGGGTTTCAACAGTGCGTAGAACAAGTGCATGTGTCGTGCGGCGGATGACGCGGATGAAGCAGTTAGTGTTCAGCAAAATTGCGTTGGGCACCATGACGAAGCTGAATGACGACGAACGCCTTGCAAGTCAGTGACGGTTGGGCAGTGCTCCTGCTTGCGACAACGGACGACGCTGTTGAGCCCAGCAAGACGCCGTGAGGACCATGTGCACATACGTAGTTTCGTGTTGTGTGTGTACAGTAACAACTTGCATGTGCGTAGTAAAACACCTTTTCTGTTCCGCTTGGTACACTCTCCACCAGCATTGCATGTAATCTCAACGTAACAGCAACCACGTTCAACTGTCACTAGCACCGTGCTCAGTCACCACGGTTGCAGAATGCTGACGCCGGTGATTTTCACGCGGAAGACGGACACAGTGGCAGGACGCTGCGTCGGCCGCGTGGCGGAATGCAACCGTAGAAGGCGCACGACCGATCGTGTTGTCAGTACAGTAGCTGAATTAATGACGTGAAAGCACTCGCCGTTGTCAGTGCATCTAGCGCGCGTTCTCTCGTAGTTGCTTCGTTGTCGGCGAGCTGTTACTCCCTGTTATTACTCGGACGAAGCGATTTCGCTGAAGGTGTCCCGCTGGCTTAGGGTGATGAGCCCAGTTCCATTAGTTTCGGATCGTCACGACACACGCGCTGCGCAGCCCACGTGCTTTCCGAGCCGGAGAGGGAGTCGCGCCTTCTGCTTCGCATTTATATGTAAACAAGAGAGGAGAATTTGCCTAGTCAATATGGCCGACTTCCGGCTTCATCGCGGCTTCACAACGAGTGACGTCAGGGCCTCTCCTTACCTTTCCTTCCTCCGTGGTGGCGTAGGACCAACCCAGTCGGCCAGAGCTTCGCTGTCGTCGAAGATCGCGAGGGCACAACTGGTCGGCACGGAATCCAACGAGCGAGTTGCGTCTCTTTCTGATGGGGATCCCTGAGCACGTCTATTGTGGTTAGTGTGTTAATTGCTAGACAGGCCCGTACAGAGAGGGGGGCCCCAGGGGCCCGTCCAAGGAATGTTGACGGAGGAATTTCACTAGATCAGCTCCGAAAAGTGCCCCCCCGTTTGCCCACCCTCGGAAAACTTCCTGCTGCTAAGTAAAAACTTGAAAATAAAGGCACTCTCAGACTAAACACCGCACATGTCGGTTGTACATTTATCGCGGTCCTCCAAAACACTTACCGTTCGAGAGTTGCTTGTTGGGCAGTTGGTGCAATTGGTACAGCAGTTGGTAAGGCATCGAAGAAGTTAACATCTCTGTGTTCACTTTTTGTGAAACAGTGAACACCTAGTGTTCACCGTTCTGCTTCTACCTCTCAGTTTTCTTCTTTTTTCGATGTTTCAGAAGCTTTCTCCGAGTTTTTACACCATCACATGTTCACTGTCAAAAAAATAATGTCGAAAACATCCTCACGCGCACTTTGCGTAGTGGCACGACTACCGATGGTACCGTTTTGGTACGAGGTATTTGGCAGCAGAAGTGGGTACCGACGAAGCAAATGTTATAGTTACTTGGAAACCAAGCCACACCCTTTGTCGCGTATTTTCGATGGCTTCTTTGCCCTTAGACGTCACTGCACCGATAATCACTGAAGCATTTGTCGGAGATAATATAGGTTATCTACGGATGCTTAAAAGAAATGCGCCATAAATAGGGTGTACGTAGGGCGTATGAGTGAAAGTTAATGCCTTGACTAATGATGCTGATATATATGTGCAGAAACGTGACGTATAATATATATATATATATATATATATATATTATGAAGTCTTGGTAGTCTTGGTTGCGACAGCGTTTAATTGAGAAAAGACCTCGCAAAACGAACGGGCAGAGCCAGTATACAGACGATGACGATGATGATGACCCAGAGTAGCAAT